CTGTCTTAAGATATGTACATAACAATCACATATGTTTTTTGGATTCAGATCAGGATGAAAAAAATAAAGCGGCCAGAAAATTCATTATTGGTAGTAATTGTGGGGCCTGTCAGTAGGTAAACTGGTCACTGATACCTGTGTTTTCAACATAGCCATGATCACATCTACTTTCTGCCTTCAACACTGCCTTCCATTTCAAAGCTCTGACATAAAAATGTGCTCAGAAAAAAAAGTGTGTCTGAAGGTTCGTTTACCCACAATGAAAAGAGTAATCTGGTACCATGCCATTCAGTTCACTTCAGGCAAAGCCTCTCAGATTTTCTGCCCAGATGCCAAACAGCACAAATCAGGACTTGCTTGAAAAACATTCCACACCAACAGGATCATGCTTCAGCACAGTGGCATCTGACCCATCTCTTCTGCAGTTCCCGGGAAGAATAGCTGTGCAGGTTCAACCTGATACAGCGCAGGCAGAGAAGCATAAGTTGGGCTGTTTCAACAGGAACGTTTGCCAGGGCGAACCACAGCTGTGATGGTTTAGATGTGAAATGCCTCCCTGGAGAACACTAATACACAAGCTAACATGGAATGGATAAACCTCAGGGGTCCCCACTCATAGGAAAAAAAAAAAACTACAGGCAACTAAGGAATGCTGAAGGCAGGAAGAATAGTCTTCCTCAGGGATGAGCCTCTTAATTGGTTATCTAATACCAAGCAGTCAGCCCTGAAATCACATACATACAAGTAACACAAGACAGACTAATTAAATTGTATTTATATATTCAGGTGTGTGTGTGTGTGTGTGTGTGTGTGTGTGTGTGTGTGTGTGTGTAAAACAATAAATAATAAAGAAAAGGGACCATAATTTCAAGCAGGCCATGTATATATGAAGGATTGGAGGGAAAAAAAGGAAGAGAGAAAGGTATAATTTTATTTTTATTTGTGAAATATAAAACTAAATTAATGTTTAAAAATGGCCTCCTCGGGGATCATGTATATGAACACTTGTTCCCTAGCTAGTAGCACTGTTTAGAAACTTTGTGGAACCTTTAGGAGGTGGGGCCTAGCTAGACACTTTGGGATTATAACTTAGCCCCCATTGCAGCCTGAGTTCACTGCTACATGCTCTTCAAAGATGTGGGCAAGCAGCCACAGTTCTGCTACCATAGGCACAATCTGTTGCTACTCCATGCCTTCCTCGTCAATGGACGACATCCACAAAACATAAACCAAACTTTCTTTCCTTAAGTTGCTTTTCCTAGGGTATTTTAGCACAGTAGTAAAAAAGTCTAATATCTCAATCTGGGGCCAGAGAGCTGCCTCATTAGTGAGGATCGCTTGTTGCCCTTGCACAGGACCAGGGTTCAACTCATGGCATTCATATGGTGGCTCACTACCATCTGTAACTCTTCTAAGGACAGCAAGCAGGGAAAGCATCTATACACATAAAATAATTAAATGAATCAATGAAAACATGAGCTAAACCTGACAACAACTTTATGTTTGGCTAATCATAGAGGTGATAATACCTGAAGGCACAGTGCCATAGGTTTATCAACAGTTCATTCCTGCCAAGTAGCTAGGAATCCAGGGTTGACAAAAATATCTCAAAATCACAACAGTTGAGAATGACATTTTCTCTGCTTAATTCCAACTGGCAGGTAGAGTACTCTATCTAAGAAATGCACAGTCATATTTTTCCAGGGTTAGCAACAATTCTAGACAACTGTGTAGACCAAAGAAGAAACTACTGTGAGTCAATGGTGACTACTAATGACTACACACACACCTGGTCCAAACTGAGATGTAAATACAAGATAAACTCTAGATTTTAAAGAGTAGTATGAAAACACACACATACACACACACACACACACACACACACACACACACACACAATAGTTGACTGAACTCTGATTACATGATGAAAGTGTGTTTTAGATGCATTGTACATGCAGATGTAATACAATATGAGGCTCTTACTTCTATCTCATGCGTTTCTTGATTTGATAGAGCTTCTATATTTTCAATAGCCAATTTTCAAGCTTAAAATATCAAATGTCAGTCATTTTTCAGTCATGCTGAATATAATTAAACTTCTCAGTTAGGTCCTAAATTATGTTGCTATTTGTCTAATCTGAATATAATTGTTTTGAAATTTTGGATTACGGCTTAACCAAATATGTTGTTAAACAGATATAGTGTGACTTTTTCCTGTGATTGACCTTCTGAGAACAATATATAATAGTCTACAAGTGCAGTCATTAAAATGGATGTGTATCAGTGTGTGAAGAATGTATGGCTGCACTTTAGAGGGATAGAGAAATAAGAAACATTTCCTGTGTTCAAAATGTTCTCTGTCCTGTGTAAGGGACAAGGTTACATGTGGGAAAAACTAGACAAAGGGGTATTATGGATGAATACACTACTCTTATTTTAAACATGCTATCAATTTGGTCCCCAAATATGTACAAGTATGCACATCAACTAGCAATGTCCTTAGCTTTGGTCAGAGAACCCTCTTTTCTTTCTCCAGCTGTGGGTAATGCAAGATTTATGGTTAGTCAAGGTTATGAGAATACATGACTATAGAATAGCTAGTTCTCAATGGGACATATATAATGTCCCTTTCAAGGCTTGACCCTGGAACACTGCAGAAAGAGACAGGAAGAATATAAGATATGATGGTTGTGAAATGCTGTATTCTGTGTAAGATATGGCCATTGTACTCTTGAAATACAACTATGGTTGCCTGTATTGGACTGGGCATGTCAATATTTAGTCATAGACTAGGAAGAGGATCATGGAGCCTGCCCCCTTTTCAGGGCGCTACTGGCAAGTGACGACTGCTTGGAAAGATGGTGCCAACAGTGGGTTGTGGATGCTTCAGTTGACAAAGGAAGCCCTGGTTAAACTTAGTGGATCTCAAAATAAAACCAACACAAAACAAGATTTTTTAAAAAAATGACGGTAGTATCTGTAAGCACCAATGAGTGTAAATCAAGAACATGAGGACTGTGTTCATTGACTGAGTCATCGATGTTAAGTTTTTGTGGTTCTGTACAGTTTCATATTGCCATGTCAATATTCAAATACCATTTTATGTAAAAAACATTTTCAGTACACTCAGAAGAAAGTGCTCTTTGAGTGCAGGAAGCTTCAATGGTTCATACCAGCCATTTGTTTGGCCTGGTTCAGTGTAAACTGTGGAAAAATTAACTATGGCAGGAGTACATCCCAAACCAGTATATCAGTAAGAGGACCGAGAGAAAAGTTTTGGTGTCTAATCGGGCTGCCTGTGAGTGAAATTCTACTAGTACTCCTGAGTGCAAGCACAGGCTTGGACCTAAGCTATAATCGAATGATTATTTGGTCTTTTCTTTTTAATAAGACAATTGCTTCCCCCAGAGTAGAATATTGTGTTAATTCTGTTTACCAGTAGAATGAAAAAGTGGAAACTGTAACTGAAGTTAGTACATGAGGGGAGGCATTGTGTCTGCTATTGAAATTTGTCAGATACCAAGAGTCTATGACTCACACGTAATAATGCTGAAAACACAAAAACATAAGCCAAATTATTCAAATATATGACTCAAAAAAGAATTTGCATATTTTTTCAGTTTGAAATATTGAAGAATCTCAAAACTATGTGTTAAAAGGAATGGAAAATAGGCAATCTTTTTAAAACCATGAAGCTTATTTGGTTTGGTTTCTATCTGGCTAATCCCAATCATCCTGATAATATGTACCTTAACATCACCTTCCTGACTTCTCATTGATGTCAGGAATATGTGATGAGCTGAGAATTTGCCTCAAAATAGCAGAAGTCATCCTGGGGAAAGATTCTTCTAGTCTGGCAGACAACCCAAGCAATAGCCAAAGCTTCTAAGTCTCTGATGGAATTTCAAGACACAGTGTCCATATGTTCTGAACAAATATCAAAGCTCTATGGTTGCATTTCACACATCTTTCTCACCATACCTTCTGTTGAGACATAGCTCTCTTGCTCTTCCCTATCTGTGGTCTCCAGGGTAGGATGTATGAGTCCCAGGGAAGAGATACTAAGGCCATCAGAGTTTTAAAACAGAATACCCAAACAGTTCCTCAAGCTTTCTAGTCTGCAAAACAAATGTAATCTTTCCTTAGGTGTTTGGGGCCAGATCTCCTTCCTTAACCCATGTTTGTTTGACATGTGGTTAGTGTTAAAAGTTAGTGTTAATTAACCTTAGTTAATTAACCCATCTAGTAAACAGTTGGTATACAATGACAAAAAACTCAAATGTAATACAACCTATATAAATCCAGGTGAATAATAAGAAAATCACAAAGCTGATTCTTCCCTTATAGTAAACATGAGCCGTATTTTCTTCTTTTTTCTTTTGTTTTCTTTATGTGAAAAAAGTTTTATTCATTTTTACATACCAACCACAGATCCCTCTCCTCCCTCCTCCCACATCCCCCCTTTGCCTTCTCCCAAGGCCTACTCTCCATCTCCTCCTCCCAAAGGGTAAGTGCTCCCATGGGGGCCAGTGAAGCCTGGTACATTCAGTTGAGGCAGGGTCAAGCCCCTCCTCCTGCATCAAAGGTGGGCAAGATGTCCAACCATAGATAATGGAATCCAGAAAGCCAGCCCATGCACTAGAGATAGATCCTGATCACACTGCCAGGAGCCCCTCAAACAGACACAGTTACACAACTATCTCTCGTATGCAGAGGATCTAGTCCAGTCCCACGCAGGTTTCACAACTGTTGGCCTAAAGTTCGTGAGTTCCTATGAGCTTGGTTTAGTTGTCTCTGTAGATTTCCCCATCATGATTTTGACCTCCCACTCCTTGCTTAAATAATCCCTCTTCTGTCTCTTCAACTGGACTCCCAGAGCTCAGCCTGGTGCATGGTTGTGGATCTCTGCATCTGCTTCCATCAGTTACTGGATGAAGGTTCTATGATGACAGTTAGGTATTCACCAATCTGATTACCAGGTAGGCTGGTTCAGGCACCCTCTCCACTGTTGCTAGGAGTCTAATCTGAGACCGTCCTTGTTGATTCCTGGGAATTTACCTAGCACCAGGTTTCTCCCTTACCCCATAATGTCTCCCTCTATCAAGATATCTCTTTCACTGATGAGCCACATTTTCAATCATGGCTGAGAGGTGAAGCTAGCTTTTCAATAATATCTGCTTTATATAAAAAATACTGTGGAAATGGGCCCCTGAAAAATCATACTTTGATAAATACTTATGCACCTAACCAAATGCAGAAATCCTTCTTTATCCTAGTTTTCTGCATCCATAGATTCAAGCAACTAGGGATCAAAAATACCCAAAGAAACTGTGCGACCGTGCACAGAGTCACTTTGCTCTCTTACCCTTAAGTCACACGGTACAGATGCTTGCAAAGTACTTCCATAGCAGGCAATACTGAAAGTATTGTAAAGATTTCTTAAAGGACTGAAGAGCAGCTGCGGAGATGGCTCAGAGGTTAAGAGTACTTGCTGCTCTTCCAGAGGATCTGAGTTCAGTTGGCAGTACCCACATCAAGTGACTTTATAGTCACCCGTCACTCTTGCTCAGGGGAAGCCAACATCCTCTTCTGGCTTCAATAGGCACACACACACACACACACACACACACACACACACACGGGGGGGGGGAGAAATAGAATACTCAGTGACATGCATGTAAATGAAAATAACTCTAAAACTTTATTAAATATGAGTAAATAGAGAGCACAGAATAATGTACATGGGTGGGTTGCAGATACAACAGTTTACACAAAGTGTGGGCATATATGCATACGTTATATCCACAGTATGTTCTGGGATCAATTCCCCACAGGTACTAAGAGTTACTCTATAGTTATTGATGACCAGACAGAAAGTGTCCCTTATAAATTTTCAATCCTATGTACTAAAAATCATAAAATATAGAATCCCCACCTAGATTATTAAAAGAAATCCTTCAAAGGTCACCTTAAAGGGTCTTGGATTTGTTTAAAGGAAAAAATGGGTCAATCCCAGCTTTCAGTGAGTGTGAGAGCAACTTCTGGCCACCAGGAAAGCAGCAAGTGTTTGTCCTCCTTTCTCTGTCAAAGTGTACTGACATTCATTCATGGATTTTATTATTTAAATGTTTACATTTTTGAAACTAAATATGATTATACAATTTACCCCTTTTCCTTTCCTCCCTCCAGATGAAGGTTGTTATGGATAACCACACCTGATCAAAGTGCAGAGGACAAGTGACTCCATGGTACCCACCCGGACTGACACTTCTACCACAGAACTCCTAGAGCTGAGGCTCGGGGGGGAACACCACAGAGGAGAAGGACAGAAAGACGGTGAGAGCCAGAGGCACAGAAATTCTGCTGTGGGATAGTGCGTCCTAGAAACATCAGGGAAACTATACGCACGAAGTCGCACCAACATGACTGCCTAAACAAGAGCTAAACAAGAAAGACACCATGAGATATGCTAACATGGAAGTGGGCAATCTTAAGGTACCCCCACCTCTATACAAGAAACTATGGCAATTAAGCAATACTGAGAGTTGAAGAAACAGTTTTCCCTAGGGAAGATTCCCCCCAGTGGATTATTCAATACCAAGTGACCACCCTCATTTTAAAAACCATCTCTGCCCAAGTTTCCACCTCACAACATTAAAACCAACCATGAAGTGAGGCATCAGTTAGAGAAAGCGTTTGCATACACATCTGCATCTCTCCTGCCTTTCAATAAATCATGCACATGTCTTTTACATTCCCCTAGAGTGAGTAATTTACCTGTCATTTGGATTGGTGAAGGAGGATTAGAATACAGAATGGAGAGTTAGGAATCAGATGAGTAGCCATGTAGAACAGTTAATTCAGAAGCTATGAACACAGGGATACATTGCCAAGTAAAGAACTTCTAAGAGACTAAAAGTGATCATTGGGGCAAGACTCACTATGACACCCAGAGGAGAGCCCCAGGTTTATACTGCATGCAGGCATGCATCAGCATCATCTTATGCATGCATGTGTGCATTAGTCACTTTTCATGCTGCTATGAAAAACTACCTAACAGGAACAAATGAAGGGAGGATTTATTTGTCTTGAGGCTGGCAGCATGGTCTATGATGCACAGATCAGGGAAAAGTGAGGCAGCGGAATTGGCTCATAGCTATGGCAGAAGCAATTAGAGGATTTCTAATCAGATCTTGGCTAATGAGGAATCAAAGATCAGTGAAATTTGGCACTCATCTGCCTTTCTCCTTTTCCCTTTTTGCTCAGTGTGGGCCCCAGCCCAGGGGATAGTACTGCCCACAGTCAGGACAGATGTATCCTCCCCAGTTAATTATCTCTGTAAACACCCTCAAACATATGCCCAGGGTTGTGACTCTTAGGGAAATCTAATTCCAGTCAAGTGGATGATAAAGATTAAACATTACAATATTTAAAATTATACTAATGGTTTGTATTAATATCTGCACATATGTGATTAATAAATGATGGAAAATGTGATGCAAAAGAACTAAAGGCAAATACCACTGAAACTCAAAATTATAATGTTAAGGAAATATGCTGAACTCAGGCTTTCTGTCCATTCCCACTGGGTAGTACAGTAACAAACAAATCAGGCATCAGATCTTACATCTCAGTGTCAGAAATGTAGCCCTGATATACACATTCACTAATTAATGACAATCAATTACCAAAATGCATTAGATTTACTTAATAATCAGAAGAATTGGCAGTAAAATTTTGTAGATAATAAAATCGACAAAATAATGGAGTGTCATTCCTCATTTTCCCAAACTCTACCTAACTCAGATGTACAAAGCCAGCCTGAAATAGACATCAACATGTCAAAGACAGCCTCACTACCTGTGCTCCTAATGCAGATGGAGCCCTATGCAGTGGGTGGTAAAGAACAAACATTTACACTCACACAGGGTCGTTTTTAAGAAGTCTGGTTTTTTGCAATATTTGTTAAATAAATGAATGTATGAATGAAAGATTGTTAAACACTTATCAAGTTGTAAGTAGGTACTTGACCCCAGAGCCACCAGGAACTTCTTTATTAGGGATGAAGGTGAGATGAAAATGCTTAGTTCTGACTGGGCACTAGCTGGGGACAGGGCAATAACTCAGAGGTAGCTGTCAAGAAAAAGGAGGAGACCATAGCATGTGTAGATGAGAGGGTCCTAGGATGGTCTGTAAACTGACAGGCAGCCTCAGCTTTTCTCCAACTAAAAGTTAAAACTCCTCTTCCTACAGACACATGGCTGCACAGCTTTCCCTTTCAACGAGGCCTTGATAGTTTTACTTATAAAATCACTAAGAAATCAATCCAAACCTAAGGGATGATGAACTAGAAACAAAAACAAAAACAACAGAATACTTTGAAATCATGTTTTCTAGTTCCTAATGTCTCCCCAAGACGTCTTGTTTTAGCATGTGCATCGTGTGTGGTGGGAGGAGCAGCAAGGGGGTTCTGATTGATCACTCTCCACCTTATGTCTTGGAAAGGGAGTCTCGTTGACCTGACACGAGGTTGGTAGCTAACAAGTCCCTTCAGTTCTCTTGTCCCTACTCCCCCATACTTCTGGGGTTACATGCACGTGTTGCCATGCATATATTTATACATATATACTGGAAGCTTGAACTCAGGTCCTTCTGTCCTTCTGCTTACACATAAATGCTAACACAAGAGACTGTAGCACCTAATGATCTAAGACAATTTTCTCTGGAATGGACATTGCCTCTGAACACCAATTCCAGCACCAGTACCCACAGCAGATAAGCCCATGAGATCTTCTTATGGTTTGGTTTCTTCCCTTCAAGGTATAGAGCAGTGATGGAGCACAGTATGAAGAATGATATCTAACTGAAAGGGAAAGAATCTGGGAGTTGATATCAACAAAGTGGCCCCTTGGGAAAGGACATCTAAGATGTGGTATTGCAACAGGGAAGAAAAAGAAGTCATGTAAAAGAGAAAAAGAGCATCAGTGAAGGTGAGGAGGCTGTGAATACTTGGTGGAAAGACCAAAGTGTCATGTCAGCTGAAAGACTAGACAACAGAATATCTAGTTTTCTCACTAACTTTTGCATAAGGACAGTTAGTCACGAACTTCACATGCCACACAGCATCCCCAGGAGGGTCAGGAAACTGGACCTGGATGCACTCACAACAACTGAGCTTAGAAAAAGCATCAGGGAGGGACTGCCATACTGAAAGGCTGTGGACCACCAGTTATCCTCTGTGAAATTAAGAGAACAGAGCTCAGACAAAACACGTTTTTGTCAGGTTTCATAAGAGAACAAGCATATGATAACGACTTTGTATCTGGCTTAATTTTGCTATCCTCTGGTTCTACCTATCTTCCTGAAAGTACCAATATTTGACTCTTTGTCATAGTTGAATACTATTTCATTACATAATGTATTGCATCCTGTAGAACAGTCTCTTTGTGCTATCTACTTGTCTGTTTTCAGGGTGCAACTCAATGTCATCCCATTTATCATTTTTTCTTGTAAAGTCTCCATGGCCACTCTTAACAGCCATCCAGACACACACATGCAAAAACAAGGCTGGACAGATGTTTTCACTGTTTTCTTATCCATTGTTAGAGCTGGAAAAGGTTTACACGTATTGGACGATATTACCAAACAGCGGCTTGTACTGTTTCAGGTCATGTCCTGTTACCAGGGAAATGATGTCACTTGCCATGAGACCAGATCAATATGAGGTACTCAAATTTGCTCTTTTCTGAAATTCCTGTTTAATTTCAGACAAATAATATATTTTTTGTGCTTAACTTCCTAACCACAGACTTTCTGGTGGTAAAATATTCCTGTTCTGCTGATATTCAATTTGTATTCTCCTGATGGCTAGAGATTTTGAGATGTGTTCATGTGTTCATTGGATGTTTGCATTTTCTACCTTTATGTGTTTGTTTGTACAGGAATTGGTAACACAGGAAGAGATGAACAGAACTTAAAGTCCTTCTACACGTTTAACTAAAGAAACACAGGGAGCTACTTACAAAGGAGAAGGCCATTTGAAAGGGATTTGAAACACCCTAAGTTATTAAACTGGGAAATTGTTTCCAACCCAGGATTGATGGAATATAGGGGAAGCAGTGTTAGTGGGGCATTCTGAGAACTTCGGCTATAAAGAATGGCATCAGGATGTGAGAAGTGGTGAGAAAGGCAAGAGCTGAACCTAGAGAACAATGCCAGAACCTAATCTCTCTCCCACTTCCCCTCAATTCTCCTCCTTGTACCGTGGAGCAAGGAGCCTGGACAACCAGGTGGGGGAAGCCTGGTGAAGACATAGAACTTGCTGTAAAAGCATCAGTAGACTGGGGAGGAGACAAGTGGAAGACATCCAAATAGTCTCAATATTATACATGGTGTTCACTAGGTTTCCAAAAGATAAGGTATGTATACCTCCTTTGGAAAGTGCTCAGTATCGCTTCCAAAGTCGGGTAATAATTGTGTCAAGAGTATGTAGACATGCCATCCTTTATATTTCTTTTCCGGAGGAATTTTAATTTTTTCTAATTAGTTGGTGAGACATGAGAAGGAGTTGGAATAAGTTCAAAGAAAGTCACCGAATGATTCTGAACAAGTTTGAAAAGGAGGAGGAAAGGTAGTTAAGGAAGCAGGAGCCAGGGAAAAGTCTTAAGGAAGAAGCTGTAAAATAAGGATTGCAGAGGCCAGTTGGAGAGATGCAGAGATATTAGGTTTGCTTGTGCCAGGGACGATCATTGTAATAAATCCTCTCGACTCTCACTGTAAAGGAAATATTCTCCTTCAGATTTGATGTGAGCAGTGGAGCACCGTGCAATGGGAGTGACTGGCACACAAGCCGTTCCTCAGCTCACACTTCCTTCATTTCATGTCAGGGAATATTTCTAAGGATGAAAGAATTGTAACTTAAATGAATAACAGTTCTTTGTAAATTAAATAAAAGAAAGCCTGGCTTCCTTCTTCTGCTAGCTAGAAATGTTACCAACTTAAAAGTGAGCTACAGAAAATATCTCTAAAGCCACAAACATTTACAACAAAATCTCTCAAAGAAAGATCAGCAGATGTGAGTGGTGGGCAAAAATCAGAGGAATCCAGCTTAAAGAAAAGACTTTTTTATGCCCTCTGAGTGACCTTACTATGTTCCATAGCCTTCTTCACAACAGTGGAAGGGGAAACTTAAAACTGGCTGAAAAACAAATGGACTAAAATTCATAATGTTTGTTCTTTCCTTTATAAGATTTCATTTTATACACTGCAGTTAGAAATCTCAGAGTAGGATTTAAGAGGACTGATATGTCCTGTGGTGGCTGAACAGCTTGTGTAGGAAATGAGGTCTAAAACTTACATGGACTCCTCCACTCTTGCTACAGCGCTCCTATGAGAAACAAAACAGTGAACAGCCCTTAAGAGTCTCTCCAAAGGCACCTTTCAAAGCTGCATCAGGGGGAGGAAGAGATAGCATAGCCCACCGTCATCATAGTCCTTTGACTGTGCCCAAGGCAGTTATAAATTCCACTGGGTAATAAGTAACTAAAAATCACAGAAAGCAGGTTAACAATGTCATGAACGCTCTAAATCATATTGATTTCCTCACAAAGCCTCACACAGCCAGTAATATTAACTAGGTAAGGGTGATCAGGGTCCATGATGAAAGAGGAAGACTGTAGCCTATAAGACCTACATAAAAGTCTAGGAGTGAGCTTTCCTCTCAGATCCAAAGTATTCAAATTATAGAATGGTGTGCTGATGTATGGAAGAATTGTTGCTTATTTTGAGAGAATGGCATTCCCTTACAAAATGAAAGCCCCATGTCTTCTGTGATACATACATCCTCCAAAGGCCAGCTGACAACTGCGGAATGTTCACCACCTGTCAACTCATGCTCTCAGCTTCTAGGGTCCCATTGTGTCCTGGATTCAAAGCACATTTCCCACCAAGCTACAGACCTGCTCCGGGTCATCTTATGAATGGACATCATTTATACCATTCACCTCACACTCGGCTTCTCTGGGGCAGAATGAAATATCACTGTTCATTGCATTACACCACGGAGGTAAGAAGCTGTGGTGAGATTGACGAAATAATTATGTAAATAATGACCGACGTCTAGGGAAGAGTAATGGAAGAAAAAGCTGAATAACATTAAAAGTTAATATAGTTAATGTTAACCTTTGTAACTCTCCATAATAATTCAAATATAAGAAAATTGTTGTCGAAAGCATAGGAATATTGAAGCAGAGCAAAAACATCACAGTAAAAAATGAACACCCAGATTTCTGGGAAACCGAAAGATATTATTCTACTAGACTATTAAAAGCTAAACACAAAGTTTTATTAATTTTGAGTGCTGTTATTCTTTCCATATTAGCCTTACCTAAAGGATGGAAACTTTTGTTTTTAATCATGTGTGTCCATTAGGATCCTGAAACAAGAACAAAACTGAAGCAAGGATTGAAGGACTGTTGCATTCTAAAAGAAAGAATAATCATTGGAAGATAAAATGAAGCAATCTTAGGGAGTTTCAGCTTCATCTTTCACTAACCCACATTGAGCTGATCATTCAAAATTATCAGCAGTGATGTTATAGAAGCACTCATGATGTTTGTTTCCTGTAAAATCATGAGGGGTTTATAATTAAATACAGGAAAGAGTGAGAGTAGGGGGATTGAGATTAGGTGGTTTTCGGGAGTAGGTAAACAAGAGAGAGTGCTGTTCCCCAGAAACTTCTGGGTTCCTGAGAAAACTCTGTTGGTCAGTCTTGATGTGGAAATAACAGCTGAGCTCTCCAGACATGAAAAGAGTGATCTTGATGCTTTGGGAGGTCTTTCTTTTCCATGGAAAGACACTTGATTCTACAGAGAATCACTGGATGGAGTCTACAGTCTAACTCTTTCATTCCCACAAGGAGAGGTATAGAGTTATATATTTACCTATTTTGGTTTTAATAAGAAAATAAATATGACAGTCACCAAGCAAACCCATTTATTGCTTCCATTTTCTCCAATCAGTTAAGAATCCTTGCAACATCCATAAATTGCCTAGCATTTGACTAAAATCAAAATGTTGTCTATGGCTCAAAAGACAAAAGAAATTGTATTTGTCACTTTCTACATGAAATGGTAAAATATTTGTGGTGTTAGAGAAATAAATATTGAGGTCTATCTACACCAGAGACAGGGGAAGGTGGAAATCCACCTTGGAGAAAGTGAAGTATTAAAAACAATTGTGTGTAATTCATGTAGCGCTTGGCTTTTAAGAAACACTATCAATAAATTCCCAAGAACGACAGGACATGAGAGAGCCCAGGGAAAAGCATACATGTGAGAATGCACTTGTCTCACTGAATACCATGAACTCTGGACATGTTAAATGCTGATTCCATGCCTTTATAATGATCTAGGAAAGCAGAGAGGCAGAGGCCCATGACTCACTGTGACACCCTTAGCAAGTGGCCATATTGTGATGGAGGCACAATGAGGATATGCCCTGTTATTACTCCCCAAGCACATTACATTGTTCTGTTCTACTCTGCTAGCTTGAATGCCTATTGCTCCCTAGAAAGAACTTACAGTTCCCTTTACAATGCGTTTACAGTTGATTAAAGAATGGATTTGCAATTTGGAGTCTATAATTAGAGCAAAGGGTCTCTATAATTTTAGTTCCCCTCATTCACTAATGATGATGTTATGGAGATTAGCTACTATTATGAAGAGCCATGGCCACTAAAATGATTACGGGAAAACATGTATTAAGGTTTAGTATTCCATTCTTTTACCACAGGAAGCCGATTATAAACAGAGTGTTATACAATGCTGTGAGGCAGGAAAAATAAGATTAACAATTAACACCTTGCTTAAAGGATTAGTCCATCTCTTATGCGGCGATGGCTTGTGTTCTAATTAAAACTCTTGGAGAATTGTGTGTGGCCATGTGTGAACTCATCTGTCCTTTCCCAGGTTCCTGCTGTGGGCTCAGGGATTTAGAACAAATGGGTCAGTACATTCCATGATCTGGTGACAAGCCTTTTCAGGATTTCATACTAGTCTTTAGAAGTCATGTAATACATTTTAGGGAAAGACTCGGTATACTTTTAAGGTACTTAGCTACACTTAAAATATTTTACTCCATTTGCTCATTTTGTGTGTGTGTGTGTGTGTGTGTGTGTGTGTGTGTGTGTGTGTGTGGCACATGCATGCATGTTATGGTACTCATGTAGAAGTCAGAGGACAACTTGTCAGGGTTGGTTCTCTCCTTGTACTATGTGGATCCTGAGACTGAGTTTTTCATGCATA